CTTGTATACCTGGCTTGTATGACTGACTTACTGTTTTGAGACAAACTGACCGCTAGATTTACAATTCCCCTCATCTCACACAGCAAGCAGACTTTCTCACATTCACTTCTATCAGGAAGCACAGGTTACTAGCTGCTGAGACCTTCTGACTGTCTACACGTTTCTCTGACTCCAAAGATCTTAAAGTGTATGTGATTTTTGCCCCTTTTTTAGATGCATTGCAGTGCACTACACCCTTCAAATTAATATTTCAGTCTTTCAGGGGGTTTCCTAATGTCACAGGCATGTGTAATTTTGATTCTGATAGCTCTTAAATGGACATGTCTTACAAAGAGTAGATGAGCTCAGCCCTTTCAAACCTTGAATTCCAGGAAAACTATTATACATCCATCATAAGTAGTAGTGGAAAGGCAACCTAACCATGCAATGAGAACATACACCTCAACTGGTAACAGTGAATAGCACTGAGTAACGAAGATCTGTACTTCCAGCTCCAAGATGAGTGTCTCAGGCCCTGCATAAGTTCAGTTACAGGAATCATGGCAGAGGGAACAATACTGAACCTAGATCAGTGCTGAAGGAGTCTAGGTTCCTCTCTCAAATTAAGCTTGGCAGAATTTCCTCAGAGACTTTATGAACTGTACATCTCAAAACAGATCCTTAGGTTGAGAGTGACCTTCCTGGCTTGACTTCATTTCTACATGTCATTTTTTTGTGTGAATACATCTACAGCAGGTTTCTTCAGATGATGATGTTCTTTATGCTGGTCTCCAAGACTGCCACTCCACTATCGCTGAAGGCTGGATGAAGCCCATTTGCCTACTCTCAGCATTCTCAATGTTTCTTCATATTCTACAAAGACTTTTGTCATTTTCTCCAGCAGACAAAATCTGAATTGCATCATTACCTTTTTGAGGAAAAAGATATGTACAAAGACCCATATCAAGAAACAGATGGAAATACCTGTTGCATCCATCTTCCAGAAGAATTAGTTTAGTGCAGAACAGACCAAATTTGAAATCTGCATGTGGAGGAGCTCCACACAGAAAGGCTGACTACTCAGGCCAATGGGCCAAAACAGCACACAGTGACATTGTATGAGATCAGGTGACCCCTGAAGAGCTTTAGCCAGATTAAGAAATAGTAATGCAAAAATAAACCAAGTTCCACCTTGGTTACCCAGGCAGGAAACAGAGCACTAAAGGAGGGTCTCTGTCACCCTGTCTCTTAAGCATGATCTCTGACAATGTAAACTAACCCTCCATTTTCATGTGGATGAAGCATATAAAAAGATGACACTATGAAACCCAGCCAAAGAAACAACTTTTTACTTTTTACCGATTTAATCTTTGCCCCACTAAACTGAATAGGAACTTCTCTTGAACTCACGGAATGCAAGACCTTGCCCTGTACACAAATGCATGCTTCAAGATGGCCTACATAAGAATATACTAAAAGCAAAAAGTTCAGAATGGTTGTTTTGGCATATCTGCATAAAGCACAGTAATTACCATGTTGAAGTATGACCGGATTTTGACTCCTCTTGCCAAATCCCAAACTATGACATTTCCATCATGCCCAGCAGAGAAGAGAACTCTTGGATCAAATGGATGAGGTTCAAGTACAAACACTTCATCTTCATGTCCCTGAAATCAAAGAGACAGCAAGATGAACAAGAGGATTGTGTCAAATACTTACTCAGGAATTCAATACAATAACACCAGCAACTGCAACATCAATCCATGAAAGTGTCCAGCAACGGACAACTAATTTAATCACACGTTTATTTTTGGGGTTTGTTGTTGGTTTTTTTTTTTCGGTTGGTTGGTCAGTTGGTGGTTTTTTTGTAGTAGTAGTACATTATGCACTTCTCCCTCCAGCTGCAATTTTAGCTTCCTAAGTAGTATGTGAAGTATGTCACCTTCACAACAAGTATGTCCCAATACTTTCATCATGATTTAAAAAGATCAGAGTCCACGGTATTTGGTATTTTTAGCCATAATGCTCCGCAAATTTCAATGTGTTTAGGGAGAGAAGCAGTTAGAAATTTAATTTAGGCCAATAAAGAATCAAATATGTAACTAAAGGTTAGAGAACAATATCTCCAAAATTAATACTAAATTTTAAAGTTTTGCATGAAATATTTCAATCTCTAGCGGAGCATCGAGTTACCTCTAGTGACCTATTTTCTGAGCTAAAAAAGAAGTAGCAGACATGAGTAAAACCATGTTGTTGGATTTATTCTAGCTAGAAGACTATTTTTTCTACTCATGAAATTATTAGGTTGCAGAAGTGTCTCTGTTTAAACAAGGAAAATTTATCCGTTCACGGTATTTCGAAACATTTGTCACACTAAATGAAGGTAAAAAGAAACAACTGTTTCCTTCTCTCCTTCAGGATAGCACTTGGGGGGGAAGGGGAGGGGGGGGGAAGAGTCCAAAATTAGTTTCAGACATCTTGAATAATAATATGTCTCAATAACAGCAATGGTTATTTGAGACTTTAAATCTTTATTTTCTAATAAGCAGCTGACAGATATCTCTATTATATTTCAATTATTGGCAAACATTTGCTAAGGCAGATTTCAGACAGAAAAAAACTCCTAGGGAAAAATGTTGATGGTGTACACAGAAATATTGCATTCATGATTGATAAATTGAGATGGAGCAACTTACCATAAGAATATGAATGAGCTGGCCAGTGAAAGAATTCCAAACTTTCAGAGTCATGTTATTTACTGCAGTTATAACAGAGTTGTCATGGCGGTCCCATGCCACCATGGTCACTTTCAGCTTTGTGATCTTATCTTCAACTCCTTGTGAACTTTGTCTAAAACAAAAAAGCAAACTGTTTCAAAGCAATCCTGGTTTGACAAAACATTTTTACGTCCCTAACAACTGAAAATACTTCTGTATTTTGCTTTATTATTAAGAACAGAAGCATTACCTCTTCAGGAAGCTGGAGAAATGGAAAATATTTTCCATTATGTAGCACATACAACCATGAAAGAATTGTAGGTGCTTAAGCAATGCCTACAGGGTCCTTGTAATAATTCAGACATTACGTTGATCTGTTTTTCCAGAAAATCAAATCTGATACATGACCTAGCGCAATTAGATTTGATAGCTAAGGTATTTGTTGTGATATCTGAAGATTGAAAATCCAACCTAGTCAATCAGTGAACAGAAATTTGTTCTTGACAATATCTGTAATAAGTAGTTACAAATATGGAGAAAAGTACTGATACCTTTAAGTGAGTTAAATTCTCAGGCTATCTATAGTACTATATCACTACCCTTCCATCACTTTACTATCAGTAATAACGGCACCTAACCTTGTACATATTATGTTTTTATCCCTAGCAAAACCAAACAATACCCATCTGTACTATATTCCATCAGAGTACTATAAAGTTACATTTTTGTCAGTGTAGTTGAAAGATGAACCACCACTGAATTCTCTAGCATGTTAATTTCTGGGAAAATACCAACCAAATGCAACAATAGAATGTTACCACCAAGTAGGTAGACAAAATAGAGTATCTTCCATATAGTGAGCACTACAATACATTACACAATAGTATATATTGTACAACTCAATAACAGAAAATGTAGTTACAGCCAGATTCCTTTCTAGATTCAGTGCAGAACCCAGGAGGCTTTATGCT